CCGCCTACCGCCGGACCACTGCCCGGCCGTGCCTTCCGCCGGACCACCGCCCGGCCGCTGCCTGTAACCGGACTTCAGATCGACCTTCGTCGGAGTACCGCTCGGCTACTGCCGGTCGCCAGACCATCGCCCGGTCGCCACCTGCCAGACTTCAGCCCGACCTTCGTCGGACTACCGCCCGGCCGCCACCTGCCGGACATTCGTACGACCATCTCCAGACCTTTGACTGTCTCTCCAAAACACTGTAATTCGACCGCCTCTAAATCGAGGGACAGGTCAACCCTTGTAATTCATTCATGTTTAATGGAATATTTTCACCTGGGCAAGGCCCCGTGGTTTTTCCCTCTTCGGGCTTTCCATGTAAAAAAAGATTTGGTGTTATACTTCTCTCTTTCTGTTTGTGTGTTGGATATTCGTGCATCGCTAAGACAAAAAATTTACTCACTCTACCGTCACGAATCTTTCAGACCGCAACATATATATATATATATATATTATTCCTTGCAAAAAATTTTTAGTTTCTTATAACTATTCTATGTGTGTGTTGGATCTTTGTTCAAAGTTAATATGCTAAACTCTTTATCTTAAACACCAAAAATATTATATCACACAAATAGATAAATATTGATTTTAATAAGGTTTGAACTAGATTCAAATATATTTGAATATTGATTGAAACTATTTTTTGACGCTCTGACAAATTTTACGTTCATGTTTATATCAAGATGGCTTCAATTTTCATTTATACTTTCTTCCCCGTCTTTAATATATATCATATAAATCATTGAAGAATTACTTTGATCATATGCACATAAATATTATTTAAATATTAAAAACACTTACCCATGATTATGAAATTCAATTAAACTACTTCATCCCATTTAACATCATTGTGATCTAGATGCCTTATATAAGAAGAAATTTTCCGTCGATAGAATGAAGAAATCAATAATGACTACAAGAGGAAACAAAAGAATGTGTACGGAGGAACTACTAATGGTGTTTTACCATGTTTCAAGTAAGATATAGTTCTATATGGATATAGGTATTTTAAGGGCATTTTTGTCAAAAAATAATATAAGGGATAATTGGCCAAATAAAAATATAAGAGGGATGAATGTAGATTATGAAACATATAAATTTAAAATTCCTTTTTATAATTATTAATTTGTTTATGTGAAAAGAATATAGAATTTAATTGAATATTTATATATTATATGCATCTTAAAATAAATTTAATTTAAATTTACTCATATCAAAATGGTAGCTAGAAACCAAAGGGTTGTTTGATAGCAAGATTTTAGATAAATTATGCTAAATATTAGAAAAGCCATTTTAAATCCTACAATTTTATAAATCCTTTTTTTTTTAAACTTTATCTCATCATATTCTCTTTAAAATTATTAATAATCATACTTTTTTTCCTTAATTATTTTATAATCAAGTTATTTTTTAAAATAGCCCTTTATTGAATTCAGTTTTACAAAATGACTAAAATCCACATGAAGCCAAAGAGCATCTTCAGTACATCATCGACCGAGGACAATGAAACCGCGCGTAACAGAGAACACAAACCAATGCTCTCGAAAGCTTTCCGCAAAGCCGGAGAGTTCGCAACGGCGACCGCGAACGCCATCGCTCGCCGGAACCTTGTGAGCTCCGGCGGAGGAGTCTCGACGGAGACAGCTGACGTGGTGGTGATCGGCGCCGGTGTCGTTGGGCTTGCGGTGGCGCGAGAGTTCGCGCTCAAGGGGCGAGATGTCCTCGTGGTGGAGGCGGCCACGACCTTCGGCACTGGGACAAGCTCTCGGAACAGCGAAGTCATCCACGCTGGGATTTACTACCCTCCCCAATCCCTCAAGGTACCACACTTTCAACTAGGGTTCTTAAAACCTTGTTCATTTATTTGCTTACAAAATCCTTTTTTTTTGGGACATTTAGGCCATTTAAGGCAAACTCACACACACAACGCATACACATAGACTCGAACCTTGGACCTCTTAATTGGAAGCCTAAGCTCTCAACCAATAGGCTAAGGAGAGTTGTGTTACAAAATCCCTTTGGAAAGCAGGGGAAAATTTACTAATTTCAAAAACTATATAAGAATTTACCGCTATTTTTCCGTCATATATATAAATGAATTTAAAACTTAGACGAATATTTCTGCTATTAATAAGCTATTGAATTGGAATAAGTATTCGGTGCGGAGTCCGGACGTAGAGCACTCCAATCAAAGATGGACACGTAATTTGTATTTTAATTTATTAAATTCATCCACGGGGATTTTTTTAATAAGATATTTTAGTTGGCGCTATTTTTTAAATAAAAATTGTGACCGGATCCCAAATTTTATAGTTTTTAGCGAATAAAACTTTCTCCCAAATCCTCGACAAATAAAGTGGTGAAGAAGATGGAGCATGCTTTTGATGACATTCAAATTTCACATAAAAGAAGGATGACGAAAAGTTCACAGGATAGTGCAGATTTTGCAAGGTTGGATGAACTGGAATCCAATTTGAATGAAGGAGCTATAGATATAAACTTATATGTAAATTTTTACAGATTATCATGCATTCTTCTTTTTGCGTGATAATGTTGTTTTCGCCAATATGCTTAAGGCACAATACTATTGATCTCTCCATTTTTTTTTTAAAGAAATTTTAAATATTTGTCATTAATTTAGAAATATTTAAAGTGCATATGAAATTTTTGTTGAGATAACTAATCTCAATGATTTATGTTGTCTTTCTACATTGTGTACAAGATTGAACAAGATTGTGACAATGCGTACAATCTTTTACAGAATATGCACAATCTTTCAAACTGTGCAGTGTTTAGAGGATGTGTACAAGTGTATACATTGGGTACAAACTCCAAATTTTCTACAATGATGCACAATGTTACAGCTTGTACAAGCTGTACATAGTTTTTACATGATGTTCACACTGTGCACATACTGTAAACACTGTGTACAAGCTGTACACACTTGTACACACTGTGTATAGGTTGTACATACTGTGTACAGGTTGTACACACTGTGTACAGGTTGCACACACAAGGAGCTACACTTTCTACATTGTGCTTACAGATTTCTACATTGTTGTACAAAGTGACTAAACATGTACATAGCATATTTTTTTTTTCCATTCTTTCTCAAGAAGTTTACAACTGTGAGAAGGAGGCATACGATATGTACTGCATATATGCACATAATGCTGTCTTTAGTGTTCGTTGTCCGAGCTCGTCACTCCTCTCTCCTCCTATCTCGTACATAGGTTAAACATAGGTCCTCCATCGCTTTCCTCTTTCTCTCTTTATCTCTCAAGGTCTCTTCCCATCTCCACCTCTTCCAAATTTAAAGGAATGAAGGCTCTACATCTCCTTATGGCATCAATTGACAAAAATCAATGAACCAACATTCTCCCTTCGCAACTCCAAGCGACGGTTTGATTTAGTCGCGACTCTTCATATCGTTTCTTCTGTGATTCTAGTTAACGGAATCAACGACGACGCCTAACAACGGAGCAAGCTTCCTCATCTTCCTTGTAACCCGAAATTGGCATAGTTGGTCGTCCTCTTTCCTGTGATGAACTCTTCATCTCCTTCCTCTTCCCGCAAACCTTCTTTGACTCCAACTAACGAAGACGCCTGTGACACCAAGCAACGAAACAAGTTTCTTCATTTCCTTTGCCTTCTTCATCCTTGCGTGGCTCTAGATAGGGGTGTCAATTATTGACCCGACCCGAAAAATCCTGGTTTGGGTCGACCCGTTTAACAAACGGGTCGGGTTCGAGTTTCAATTTTCAACCCATTTAAAAAATGGGTCCGGTCCGGGTCAACCCGATAACCCGAAATTGACCCGAGCTGACCCGTGTACGCCTCCTCTCGTTTTCATTTTTCCCGCATGGGAGGGAATCGAGGGACGTCGCATCGAGGGACGTCCGCGTCGGCTAGCCGTCCAACTGAGTCGCAGTGCCTGCACGGTGTCTAGTGCCTACGACGGCGTGATGCCTAGTCTGCGGACTGCAAGTTGCCTACAACGTCATCCCGCACGCGAGGATCGCACCGGCACCGCTTGAGCTGCCGGAGCCCGCGGGAGTTTGCGTCGTCGCCCGTGCATGGTCGAGTGGTCGACTTAGTGAGCCCAACCTCCGCCAGTTCGCGCGACTTAGCGTGATATGGCGAGCCCATGTCCGATGTCGTGCGTACCTCCGAGTCTCTGCCCCAGCCGAAGCCTGAAGGAATGCAAATGTTCAGGTTCGCGGGTCGAGTCGGGTCAACCCGGTAACCCGCGCGGGTCGGATTCGGGTTAAAATCCCTAACCTGTTTGGCTAAACGGGTCGGGTTCGGGTCAACTCGGGTCGGACCCAAACCCGACCCGTTGACCCGAATTGACACCCCTGGCTCTAGTTGGGCATTCACCTATTTAGGTAAGTTTTGGATATTACATGCATATTCATAATAGGTTGTCAATTAGAATGCCAGCTATTCATTTATTAATGGACCCTCCTTTTAAGGTTGGATATCAAAAGTACTAACTTTTTAAAAGAGATAATCAAGTACCTCCCAAACGATCTTTATTATGTGAAAACTTTCACCTTTCCTTGTATAGGTCATCACTTGCTGGCCTATTGATGCAATCAAAAATTTGGGAGAGGGCCCCAAATTTTTATCACAAAAAAAAAAACAATGACTTCCTATATAAAAGAAACTCACAAAATACCCAAAAGAACACAAATACGATAAACCCCAACTTTATATAGTAAAATGAAAGACTTACAAACTTTGACTCTTACAAACGACGTTTACACAATTATAAACATAAATTCCTAAAGTTGCTTTGCCTTGAGAAGAATGATACAGGTGGAATGAAACTTACGGAGAGACGAAAGAGGTTAGAAGCCCGAGAAGAAAGAGGAGAAGCTCGCAAGCTTTCCTAGAGGAGAAGGAAGAGAAGTTGGACAAAGCTCGCAAGCTTTTCCAAGCAAACCCGCTGGTTATAGCTTCCAAATAAACTCACATTTTCACCTCTTAATCATCCAAAAACATCTCCTATTTATAAACCAAAAGAGGGAATACAAACAGCCACTAAAACAGTACAAAATCCCATAAAAACTGCAGTAGAAAAATTGCATAGAAATCAGGGAAAAACTCCTGGAATTCCCCCCCAAACAGCCACCAAATCAGTCCCCAAAAACAGTCCAACAACTGTCTAGAAACAGTCCAAAAACTGCAGCAAATGGAAGGCCAACAACCACATAACACTAGTTCCCAAATGCACAGCAAACAGAGAAGTGAAGCCCACGGTTTCCAGCAAGAAACCGCAAAACCTGAGCAGCCCAGCAAGGAACCGAAGAGCTAGTTGCAAAACCAAAGGGAAATTCATGGGAATCAAGTAGGGAACGGTGAAACCGAGCAGCCTAGCATAGGAAGTTAGGAACCAAGCAGGGAACCTAAAACCGAACAGCCATTCACGGAACCAAGGGGGCAAAGGCACGAGATTTCTCCCAACATAGGGAAACCAGTAGCCAACCACGAAAATCTAAGAGACAAAGCACAGGAAACAGCAAGCACAAGGAAATGAAAAGAAAGGGGGGGGGGAGAAAAGACAAGTCCAAAGTAATAATGAACTAATTTTTAGTTCAATAAATGAACTACTACTTGACATTAATGAGCTAAAGAAGTCAAAAATCAAATTTTAGGATTTGATTCTAACGCCCTCCCCCCCCTCTTGCCTATCCCCATATATGACTTTTCTTAACTTTCATTATCAATCATATTTCTTTTATTTGTAATAATTTATTGAGCATGAATGTATAACCGATGATAATTAACTATCATAGTAGGCATCAAGGATATCACGTGACAATAAATAATTATCATGAATTTAGAATACTATATATGTGAAATAAATTATTTATGAACATCTAGTCACAAATATTTCATTATTATTAGAATTATCATGTGCTCAATAAAACTTTTTTTTTAAATAAAATTTAGACATGAGAATTTATTTACTTTTTTTTTACTAAAGATAGAGTATCTCACCGAAATAATTGAGTTTTCTCTGCGATGCACTTTTTTTATCTTTACTCTTCCAATGTCTTGACCTTTTATAAACTATCTAATAATGATGATTTCGTTGATTTAAAATGTTTTTCAAATACTACATTTTTAATTAAACACAAAATAATTTAAAACGTGTTATCTCAAAATGTTTCTCTCTTATTCATGTTTCTTATCTCCACAGTGCGAGTTGAACATGCTTGAAACTCTTGTACCTAATTTTCTCTTCTTTTTTTTTTTCTTTTCCTATCTTGTTCCTTTTTTTTTAAATTTTGTGACGACCGGTTTGGTCCGATCGGTTCACTTGAACTGGCCGAACCTTATTAATAAAACCTTTCCCTTCCCCGCGTAACTACCCTGTTTTCGTGACAGAGAGCGGTTGGGCGGACCGAGCGCAGGAGTGGACGTCCGTTTTCGTATGAAGAAGGTTTGTTTTGCTATTTTGAGTGGAAGGTTGTGATTAGGGATGAAATTCGACAACTCATCTTAACTCATTTTCTATTCTTATCGCTAAAGGAGTGGAATTTAGGAAGAAGCGAGAGGAACGATCGAGAAAGAGAAGGAAGGAGGTTTGTAAAAATTTTTCTTCCCTTTTTCGTATAAATTGTTTTAAGTTATTTCATCTAAACCTAGATATACTTTTCATAGAAGAAAAAGAAAGGAATTGAAGGTAAGGGGAAGGATTTTGGGAAAGCTAGAAGAATTTGGAGATTTCCATTTGTAAGTAATTTCTCCATAAAATATTTTTAGTTAAAATTTTGTGATTAAACTTTTCTTTTGAAAGTTATTGTATGAATTTAGGGTTTTAGGAAGGGAGAGATCAAGTCGTAAGAGTTGATCCCACGAGGATCCAACGAGAATGAGGGAAATTGATTCGAGGTTATACCAAGCAGGCAAGCATCGAAGGCCTAAAAAGTTCAAAGTGGGTAATTATAGTTATGAAATTCAATATTTTATATTATTCTTTCAATACGATTTAATATTTTGTATTATAATATTGCTTTCAAGGTTTTATTTTTAAAGATTATCATGTGTGAAATGTTAAAAGATTAGATGCTTAAATAATTGTAAATATTTTTACAACAGAAAATGAAAGAATCAAATAAAATAAATGAAATTATGAATATGAATAAAAGAGAATGTTATATGGTACATGTATGTGTTAAGGAAATATGCTAACAAAGAAATGACATATGAAATGAATAAAAATGTTCAAGATAAATGGAAAATAAATGAAAATGATATGTATGAAAACTACAGGAGTTCACCCTCTTTTGGTACTGGCTGGGGACGTCGTACTCGTGCACGCAAAAAGGAAAAGGTCATGGAAATGAAAAAGGAAATAATTGGAAAATGTTGTACCTTTGGGTACGTTGAGACTTGAGACGGTGCTCCTGTACAAATTAAATGGGAAAATGAAATATTAAAGTTTTAAAATGTTTTAAAAGAAAATGACCGAAGATGTATAAATTACTTAATGAATGAAATAAAGTTAAGAAATGATAGGATGCATATTAAAGAACATTTATATTGATTGTTTTAATTATTACCCACTGAGTTTATGTTGTAAACTCAAACCCCTAAATTAATGTTTCAGGTAAATCCCAAAGAAGAAGTAATGATTGAAAGAGAAGAATTCGTATATAGAAGACGACGTGCAAATGACAACATGTAATTTAAATTTTAGGTATTATTGGCTCTTCAGTACAAATAAGAAAGTGTTGTATTGTTTAATGAAATTTTTTTACCGTCCGACTTTTAGTTCCCATCTCGTTAAATCGAGTATCAGGGCCGGGTCGTGACAAATTCTCTATTTTCAGCTGCTAGAGTTCTACTTCTTTCCCTTTTCTCTTCACAGTTGCTACAATATCCATAGTTATAGTTCCAGCTCCTGCGGCTTCTTCTTGCTACTCCTTCGGCCTTCTTCAACTCACGACCCCCTTCTTTTTGCCCAACAATAGATTTGGTGAGGTAATGACTTTGGATAGTTTAAGGGCCTTTAGTTCGAAGAAATTGCATTAAATTTAATAAAATTTAAAGTTCCACTGCCCTAATCAATACCATTTGTTTTTATTAAAGCGGGAAATCAAAATTTCAGTTGCTACAATACATTAAAGAATGTACGGTAATATTAAACCTAAACTTTATAAAAATGTAATTTTATGCATATATCGATTTTGGTTGATTATTTCTATACGCTCCTATGTTAATGATCAAAATGAAATATAGAATGAAATAAAAATGATTTAATTGAGTTTTGAGATTTTTTTTAAAAATGGGGAATATTTTTTGGAAAATTTAAGCTCACAATTTTAAATTTTTTGGGTATTATAGGATGCCCGTTTTGACCACACTTAGATCTGACACATATTAGATACTATGATAGCCATATATATATTTTTTACTAATACTAGATTCTATGATAGAGATGACCTTAAATGATTGTTTATTCTAGGGTAAGGTGTAGTTGGCACTATTATGCTACGAGTGATGTGATTATCGATCGGTGTAAATTGTTTCGCTACTTTTTTATAATATGGCTGAAAAATATTATTATTTTTTATGTCGGGTTATAGGTTGCTTGGCATAAAATGCCATGTTTATATTTATTAAAGTCAAATATTTAACTGTTTGCATGGCCAGAGAAAAATTATGTACAAGATTTGATGCCTTGATTTTTTTTGCTCTTTTAAATAGTTATTTTTTTAGTTAGGAAAGCTTTGTAAATGGGCTAAGTGCATGCAAAGGGTTTCGCAAGTTTTCTTCCAGATCTAGAAGTACATTCAAATCTAAATGATCGAGGACTAGGAGGACATGCTAGATTTTGGCATTATATATATATATATATATATATATATATTTGGACATTTAGGCCATTTAAGTCAAACTCACACACACAACGCATACACAAAGAATCGAACCTTGGACCTCTTAGTTGGAAACCTAAGCTCTCAACCAATAGGCCAAGGAGAGTTGTGTGCATTATATATTTGTGTATAGAAATTAGGTCTATTACATTTATGCAGTGTCTAGCTGCCTTTTTTTTCTATTTTAATAATTGGGGAAGAAAAATAATATTTTGACTGATGATAGTCGGATGATTCTTTTTTTTATCAGTGTTGTCAATCTTTTAATGGAGTTGCTTTGTAGGCAGTTCTGTGTGTCAGAGGAAGGGAGCTGCTCTACAAATACTGCTCTGATAGAGGGATTCCACATAAGCAGCTTGGCAAGCTTATTGTAGCTACGAGGGTTTCTGAAATTTCAAAGCTGGAGCAAATTCTGAAACGCGGGATTGAGAATGGCGTTGAGGATTTGAGGATGGCGGAGGGATCTCTAGCCATGGAAATGGAGCCGGAACTTCACTGTGTTAAAGCTTTGTTGTCTCCTTCTTCTGGGATTGTTGATTCACACGCCTTCATGCTTTCCTTGGTGGTATCTTCCATTCCATTTTACATAACTTTGATTTTGTTTTGCCTTGGGCATTTGAAGGGGGGACCTGAAGTAGCCATTTGCTGATCATTGCTTACATTTTTACAGGGGGATGCTGAAAACTTCGGAACTACAATTTCCTATAATACTATAGTTATAGGGGGGCAAGTTGAAGATAATTCTCTGCATCTCCAAGTTTCAGAAAGCAAGGACCTTGAAAATCATGCAGGGGAATCTACTACTCAGCCTCAGCTTGTTATCATTCCCAAGATCGTGATCAACTCTGCAGGTTTAAGCGCTCTTCATCTTGCTAAAAGATTTCAAGGCCTTAACCACAGATTCATTCCAGCATCCTATTTTGCTCGTGGCTGCTATTTCACCCTATCTAACACGAAGTCTCCTTTCAGTCACTTAATTTATCCAATACCAGAAGATGGTGGCCTTGGAGTGCATGTTACATTGGACCTGAATGGCCAGGTCAAGTTTGGGCCTGATGTTGAATGGATTGATGATGTGGATGATATATCCAGCTTCTTGAATCGGTAAGCTGTACTTTTTCTCTGTCACTCTATCTAGGTAAATAACTGATAACTAGTTATTTTTTTCTGTGCTTGTATTTCGTTGGCAATGGTTATTGGAACGTAAAAACCTGTTACTAGCTTATACAGAATTCTTATTTTATAAACTGTCTATACACTTATTTTCATTTCACATGAATCTATCTTTCAAACAAATATGGTTCCCTCACCACAAAGGCCTAGAAGAACTAATAGCACGATGACTTTAATAAAATTCATCAAAGTTATAATATAGAGTATTTTTATACTATTGAGTTGGGTTTGAGATAAGTGCAAGTCTTCATATGCAGCACTAATTTTAATGAAAATCCAGTGGTATTCAGGCCATATTGATATCATTTATATGAGGATATCCTGTCATAATTCTTTTTTTCCTCCAGATTCTACCTCAAGCATTGCATAAACTTTAATATTTATTGTCATGTATAATGAGTGAATCAATTTAGAAAATTCTTTTGGTTTCTATTAAAAATGAATGGAGATTTAGGACTCATGAAGCTCATCTCAGATAATTAAGATAATACAAATGATGAATTAATGATGCTTATGATGGTCTTAATATCTGGTTTGTGTCGTTTATGCAATTGAGATTCCCAGGTACACATTAACAAGAATATATTTTTGTGATGTTGGTTTAGTTTTCTCAGGCCAGCTTTTCATTTTTTTTAAAATCCAATTTTCTGGATCATATCTCCAAATTGAATTGACGTTACTGAAACCATCTTGTCAATATGACTAAATTTATAGTTGAATTTCTTTTGGAACTTAAGAGATCCTTTATGAATGTTCCAGGTTGGACTATTCCGTGAACGCAGAGAGATCAAGCAGGTTTTATCCTGAAATAAGAAAGTATTTTCCTAATCTAAGAGATGGATCACTAGAACCAGGATACTCAGGAATCCGACCAAAGCTCTCTGGACGAGGACAACTTGCTTCTGACTTCGTTATCCAGGTTCTCTCCTTCTGTCTGTATACATACACATTGAAAACAATGGTGCTTCTCAAAATTAGTTACTAGAAATTAATCCAAGTGAAGAACTTGTATGCTTGTTTAGTTGAGGAAAAAAATGAGCTTTTGAAAACAATTATAGTTTTAGATATTAAGGAGACTGAACGTGCAGAACTACGGCTTAACTAGTTTCAACCAGATTCAGTGCATATCCCTACGTAGATCCATCTTCATGTTGGTTATGTATCATTTGATTATTCGGTTATATTTCTATGCGAGTAATGGCTGCAATACATTGCAACAAGAATGTAATTAGAGTTGTCTCAATTAATTTTCAGGAGAGAAATCCAGCACGTGCATCATTATAGTTGTTCTAGTGATTGTTCATGAATAACAATTGAATGACAATTGTGCCATCGACAAACTAAAATAATGTGGAATATGGTTAAAGTTGTTACACGTTTGCATGGTTATAATTTTAAAGGACAGGCTGGATGGCTTCCTGTCAGCTATATCCTACCTCAATGACTTGGATGGAGTTCTCTTTTTAAATCTCCCATAGATTTAGATTTTCTGTACTCATTTTCTTGTAAAAAGATCCCAGAAGGGCTTTTGACTAATTCATATAACTCACTGAGGACTAGCCTCTATTAACCATCATATGACACCCTTCTACTCATTTGTTCAAGGCAATACTTTTTTACTTCAGCTTTATAATGCATAAAATAGTGTGGGCTTTGAAAATCCCCACCTAACTATATGATTTTGATAGTTTTCAAAAAAAATTTTTAGGAAGATTAGTGAATGTTGACCTCCTCATATTTGAACACAAGTAACAGCTTCTTAAGTCCTTTCTTTTCTAAAACTCTCCATAGCACTTTTCTTGGAACTTTATCATAAAATTTCTCCGAATCAATAAATATCATATGTAGATCCTCCTTATTCTCTCTATACTTCTCCATCAAACCTCTCAATAAATGTATAGCTTCCATAGTAGACGTACTGATCAGTATGAATCCAAATTGATTTTGAGAAACATTAGTATCACATCATAATTTATGCTCAATAACTCTCTCCCAATGTTTTAAAATATAACACATTAACTTAATTCTTCTATAATTCGCACATTTGTGCATCATCTTTATTCTTATAATAGGAATCAACACACTTCACTAATCTAGCATATTTTTACTTTTCAAAATAATATTAAAAAGTTTCGCAAGCCAAGAAATTTCTTTATCTCTTAAGCGTTTCCATATTGGAATATCATCAGGTCCAACAACATTTTCACACTTCATTTTCTTTAAAACCTCTCTAACTTTTGTTTTACTAATATGTCGATTAAAATAAAAATCTCTATTTTCATTTATAATGCTAAGGCCACTAAAGTAAATCGTATTATCACAATCTTTATTTAAAAATTTATCAAAATATCTCATCCACCTTTGTTGAATATCTTTTTATAATAAAAACACTTTTTTATTTTCATCCTTAATGCATAACACTTATATTAAATCCTTCTCCTATCTCTCTGTTTGACTAACTTGTACATACATCTTTCATCCTCTTTAGTATCCAATCTATTATATAAATCATTAAAAATTTAATTCTTTGCATCACATATTATTTTCTTAGACTCCTTCGGAACCTCTTTGTATCTTTCCCAATTTTTTGAGTTGTTACATCAAAACCAACTTTTATAATAAAATTTAGTGTCTTTTATCTTTTTTGTATATTTTGATTCCATCACTAATTATTTTGACTATTAAATTTTTTTTTCTTCTTTTGATATGCTAAGCATATTCTTTATAATATTCTTAATATTATTAGCTACTTTTTTCTCACATAAAATTAGTTTCTTTATGTATAGTCAGAATCTTAAGATATTGAATCTTACTAAAAAAATATTTTTTGTTAGTATTATTTAAATACCCCAATCTAATCATAGGATAATATTTTATTTTATTTTTCATATTCCGCCATATCATCTAAAAGTTCAAAACTAATAAGCGATGCTGGATATATAAACTATTACTCATAATAACTTTACAATCTTTACAACCTAAATGATTTATTTTTCTTATAAGAAAATAATCAATGTGAGTTTATTATATCCATTCTTATAAGTAATGAAATGTTCCTTTCTTTTTTTAAATAAGGGGTTAGCAATTATAAAATCATAAGCTATTGAAAAATATAATATAGTCCTACCATCTTTCATTAGTCGTTCCAAATTCATAATCACAATGAATGCTTTTAAAATCCTTTACCTCTCTACCAATATGTTTATTTAAATCTCATCCATTAAAAACACTTTATTTTAGAGGTATCTTTTGCATTTATTATTCTAAGTCATTCACAACATTTAATTTTTAACACATATTCAAACTTACTTAAAAGTGTAAGTACTTATGATATGAATAATCTTAGCTGCAATAACAATCTTTAAAGGTATAATTTTATCCTCAATTCTATTATTTTTTTATTATGAAGCATAATATATATTAATTCCATTAATTTACTTGTAAGAAAACCTATATTCAAAGTTTCTACCATAATTTTTTTTACTTAGACTAGTTTCTTTACCCACATTCGTCCGCGATATGAGAACCCTTGCTTATTTAACCAACTACCTAGGTGCTGATGCCGCGGCGCTTATGCACTTCTCACTATATTTAGGTCATACAGTGCGTCGCTTATAGGAACGCCCTAATATTAATACAATGTATTAAAGGATTCTGATAGACCGGTCCACGCGGGACCGGCTCACATTAAATGGGGCGGAACTCTTCCGCCCCTGGATGCGCCGAACGCAACCGCAAGCCACGGGAGCCGGCTTTGGAAGGATTTTGGAAGGAATTTTGGGAGGGAAATTGAATGTAGGGATTGTTTAGGGAATTCCTTTTGATTTGTATGCATTAAATAGTTTGTTTTCCTAGGGTTAGTGCGTCTTGAATTTGGCTGAAATTTGAGATCTCCTAGATTTAGGTTTTCTTTGGGCTCTAGCTGCGTCTAGAGATTTGGGGATAGATCGATCCTCCTCTTGAATTGAGGATCAAGTGTATCTTGCTATTTTCTGTTTTCCTTTCATCAAATAATACAAATTATCTACTGTTTTCATGATTTTGTGTGGACTTATGTGAAGATTTCTCGCTGTTTTCCGAAGATTGATAGGAAATACTTGAGATCTATAAGTGTTTCCTATCAGATTCATGTCATGATTATTCGATAAATTTTATGTTGGATGTATACTACCTAATTAATCCAAGACTTGAGATCTGACAATGACAATATTGTATTCAAAAGTCTTATGATGATGTACAGGGTGGGTAGATTAAGTCCCAAAAAAGGATGCTAAACTAAGGATGCTGAAATACATTTGCAATTGAGAAAAACGAATCCATTTTCTCCTTTGGATCGCTAATACCATCCAACTTTTGTGATGAATACATGCATTGCAGGGGGAGAATATTCACGGTATTCCAGGCCTGGTAAACTTATTTGGAATTGAATCTCCAGGCCTCACATCGAGTTTGGCAATCGCTGAATACTTAGTATCAAAATTTGCTGGATAACGCAACTTGGCTTGAAAATCAGAAGGCTTTGATGCAGGTCATTTTGATCAAGGGTTTCTTTTCCACACTATGTTCATATATTTATTCAGAGATGGTAAGATTTGTATTCATATGAACTTAAAACTATTTACACCAATTTTAAATTCTGCTTCAGATAATTGAAAGATTTTTCTTTTCTAGCAAACTAACATTTTTGTTTTTTGTTTATTCTTAGTTTGACCTCGTATATACTAACATGTCTTATTTGTTCTTAATTTGAGAAGCCTGCATACTGCCATTTTGTCTTCCATTTATAGGTTCTTATCGAGCTGCTTTATTTCATTTGATCACCCATGCCTATTCTAAAGCTTTATTGTTTTTGGGATCCGGATCCATTATTCATTCAATGGAACCTATTGTTGGATATTCACCAGAGAAAAGTCAGAATATGGTTCTTATGGGAGTTTTAACAAAATATGTTCCAATTACAAAAACTACTTTTTTTTAGGTACACTTTCTCTTTGTGGTATTCCGCCTCTTGCTTGTTTTTGGTCCAAAGATGAAATTCTTCACGATAGTTGGTTGTACTCACCAAAACAAAGAATAACAATGATTTATTGTGGTGGTGCAGAAATAGTAGCCGTTTGTAATACAATTTGTGAGGGTATCGATGATGAGAAAAAAATATTTGGGAGATGTTACTCAAACGAGTTATTGAAGACAGAGAGAGAGAGACATGAAAGAGATAAATATGGGAAGAGAAACATGGGTTGTCTTATTGCATATAAAAAGCTTATTGGAAAAGGCTAAGGACCCAAAAAAAAAAAGTGGCTAATGATATTTCATAACAAAAAAAAGTTCATTATTTTTTTGTTCTTTTTAAAAAATTTTTGTAAAAAAAATTATATCGTGAAGCCTTAGAAAGTTTTGCATAAGAATGCATTATCTTAGCTGCAGATGACAAAAAGGGCTCCTTTTAGGTAAGAAATTGGTTGAGCTCAATTACCCTAAGGGCAGAGAAATAAGAGACATGAAAGAAGATAAGAAACTTATTCTATTCATAATTTCTAATAAAGCACAAAAGCAACAAGTGAGTGAGAGAGAGGCTCCAAACATAAAATAATCTTCATGAGGATGTATCTAACAAGTCATATAGAATAAGGACAATAAAAAAATTGAAGATTATTATTTTTCACCTGTCACAAATCAATCAACTAGTGTGAGAATTGATACTTACAAGCACATCATCCACAATTTTGAATCCATCAAGGCAAGCACGCAAGTTATAGATAGAGTATCTTGAAGAAGATCTTTTAAAACAATTGAATTTACTCCAAGAAACTTCTTGAAGTCTAGAAAATAATAAGAGCTTAGCCTAAAAAGAAAAGAAAAAGAAAGAGTGATTGATATTTCAAGGGAGTTTTGATCAATTCTCTCACCAATAGTGACACTATGAATTTTATCCCATCAAACATTGTTGCTAAGCATCAAAGGTAACAATCATAAACAAATGAAAATGATCTTATCAAGCAAATCATTGATTGTGAGATCAAAAATAGAGATAAAAAATATTCTTACCATTACCATTGACATAAGTTGTTAGTATGCATAAATGCAACAATAGGAATTAGACCTTCCAATATTGTGTGCTAAAAGAAGTAGATTCTCAAATAGAGGTGCAAGTAGAGACCCTAAACCCTAAACTAAGCAAGCTTTGTTTAGTCCAAAATTTTCTAACTCTTTTATTTTGCAGTAAAACATTCATGTGGGTTTGTTGAGCATAGTTGACAATGTAATACTAAGGTTTCTAAAAATCAAATTGGATTCATGTCGGGTAGGTCTTCTATGGAAGCTATATATTTATTGAGAAGATGGATAGAGAAGTATAGAGAGAATAAAGAGGATCTACATATGGTTTTTATTGATTTAGAGTAAACATATAATGAAGTTCCAAGAGAATTGTTCATAAGAGTTCTAGAAAGAAAGGAGTTAATAATGTTTATACTTGAGTCATTAAAGATATATATGTAGGAGCTATTATTTATGTTCAAATGCAAGGTGGTTTGACCAAGTATTTTCCTATTTTAGTTGGATTACATCAAGGATCAACTTTAAGCCCCATATCTTTTTGTTTTAGTCATTGATGTTCTTACTAGACATTTACAAGAGGATGTTCCCTGGTGTTTGCTTTTTGTTGATGATATTCTTCTTGTTGATAATATAAGAGAGGGAGTTAAAAAAAACTTGAATTATGGAGGTCAACCTTAGAGTCTAAAAATTTTCTTTTTGAGTAAATCTAAAACCGAATACATTGAGTGTAATTTTAGTTGTAATAGATATAGTGGGAGGATTGTGCCTTTGGGCGATCAAGTCATAAATAAGAGTATACGATTTAAATATCTTAGATATTTTGTTCAAAGTGATCATGAAGTAGATGGGAAAATTATTAGTAGAATTCAATTTGGAAAGTTGAAGTAAAGTAATACATAGAGCTTGTTGTGTGATAGAAAAATACCCCTTAAAAACAGAGTTGAGAATGCTCAGGTGGATGAGTGGTTCACTCTTAAAGATAGAATGAGAAATGAGTATGTATGTGAAAGGGTTTGAGTAGCTTCAGTAGCAGATAAGATTAGAGAGAATCACCTTATTTGGTTTGATGTCATCTCCTCCACAAGAAAGCCAATTAGATTTGGTTATTTGTGAGTTAAAGTTTAGGCTGAGGCTTAAGCATTACAAAATTGGCTACATATATGACTATTTAGAAATCAAGAGAAACCACAATGATTACATAGCTTGGTCAAAAATTTCAACTTGATGTTGTCATCTACTAAGCTCTTAAGTAGTCATTGGTTTGACGGATATTAATAGTCGAGTAGCTGAGTTGCTTATGAATACTTCATCTGGAGAAGTCATGCCTCCTTGAATTGTCAGTTGTTAGGGACGATTTCATAGATAATAGTAGTTAAGATCGAGTGATAAGCTATACTTAGTGATCGAGATGAGTTTTTAGATCATGATCATCTGTTTGAAGTGAGTTATCTTAAAGATTAATAGGTATGAAATAAAATCGACCGAGGTAAGTTTACTTGAATCTTTTTTTTTTTTTTTACATTTCCGTGTGCGTGTGGTATAGCTATTTTTTTATTGGAGGCCTCTCTCATATATTTTATTGGGGATAGTTGTTTTTTTATAGGAAGCCAAGATTAATTTGATGATGATCTCTTTGGATAAAGACATTATAGGGGCAATAATTATGATTCTTTTAATTAGGGGCCAGCATTTGCTTGCTCTCATTATTAGAGCTCGCTTCATCTTTAATATCTCAACGTATAAATTTATTGATGTTTTAGATTATATATATACGATTGCCTGAATTTGTGCATAATAAACTTCAAAGGGCATTGTCTTTTCTTATAAAAATATCTTTTAATTTGGGTAATACTTTTAGACTGTTATTCTCTATATTTTGGGAAAAATATATGAATTCGACTGTTGGAATTGTTGAGTAAATAAGCTAAATAGGGTCAATTTGGCATTTTGCTTGGCCTAATTTACCTCTATAATTTTGTTGAATTTGAAGATGCTTAAATTTTATTATTATCGATTTAAAAATTTTATTTTTATTTTATTCACATATTATCAAGCCAAGTATTTACCTAATACAAAGAGTTGCCAATGTTAAAAAATAAATTAAAAAAATTTCTTTAACTTGTATTTGTTTTACTTGCTAATTTTATATGGGATCTGATTGTGTCAATCAATCAGGTTGTATTGTTAATTCAAAACTCAATTCTGTTGGTCGAGCTCACTGTGGGTTGCAAATGGCCTCCTCCTTGGGTAGCCAACTGTTGGACCTTAGAGTGAAGAGATGTGTCGCTCCAGATCTAGCACCACGAAACTGCAAGCAAAGCTGGAGATAGAGTAGAGCGTCATGATGCTCCAGACTCATGCGTTGCGAGTCGGGCTAAACAGTTCTCTTTCACATTTCATGCTTAATTTGATGGGTTGCATCCCTTGGTGTAATTTAATTGCATTTCTTTGTCTATTCTAAGGAGAGAAGGAAGAGTAAAAAGAAGAGAGAAAAGTACTTTTGATATTGATATAATTTAACTTAAAACATAAGTCCAAAACTCTTAGTATTTTAGATACAATGATTTAATTTATATTTATATATATACTACTCAAAGCAATTTAAAACCATGGATTCTCTAACCTTTGTAAATAATATTAACGTAATTATATTAATTTTTTTATTGCGAATAATAATAAAAATAAAGAATATTATAACCTTATGACAGTTCATCATATAATATTATATTGCATTTGAACTCACATGTGCCATTTATTTATAGGATTTTTTTTTTTAATTAACCCCTCTTGGTGGTTGTGGAGTGTGGACCGCAGTCATGTGTGTATTAAGAAGCCGACCAAACACTCGAATAGACTCCAATAATATTGATGGCTTTTAATATTTTATTTTTCAATATTGGGTAGGGCATAATTTTATTTTATAGCCCCACAAAAAAAAAAAAAAAAAACCTCTTTTTCCCCGTCCAACACCCACGGCCAGCATCCCACCCAAGCTCCCATACCACCGGCCAATCCTCTAACCGCCGGTTCCCCATCCACCTCCTCATCCCCATTAATTCCTTGCTTAATTTGGGTAATT